GGGGGGAGGGGATACCAACCTCTAGTATCTAGCTTTGTGGTGCTGACCGTAACTAACATTTTTTCAATGGACTCGTCAACTGGAATGTTATATCGACTGTCTGCAGCTACACCCACACTTCGTTTCTTTCTGCCTGACATGTTTGAACCCATGCTAATCACATTGGTGCCCTCCAGCACCCCTCCCGTCAATCCATCGAGCGTCTCCAGTTCCCAGTGATCTTTCAACAAGATCGCTTGCCCGGACGTCAACTCTGCAAGCTCCTTGAATGCTGGGTGAAGATTTCTTGGATCACCGCCTGAGTATCCTTGAGACCTGCAAAAACCTAAAATAAAAGGTGACGGGGAAAGCAATAAAGTCAAGTGAAACTGATTTCATCCATCTCCATTATCCACAAGGAATGTACATCGTAACGTTACCCTCATCATTGGCATTATTTAGATCGGGTTAGACTAGATTGGGTTGAGTTGAGCGTTGCATCACAATCCAATTACATTTTTTTTATTAATGAGAATATTGTTTTCACGGCCCAGCCTGAATATTCTTACTTATTTTTCTGTTGATTTTAGGCTTAGAATATTCTTGTAAATATTCTTAGATTATAGCGTGTGAGATTTCTGTTTTATTGTTTTTGATATGTACACATAACTTCGTCCAGAAATGTCACTGGCATCGAACAGATGGCTTGTGCTGTTTTAGTTGGTTGTTTTGACGAGTTCTGCTGTTTAGAGAAAGGTAGAATTTTATACCGTTAAGTTAAAAAAGAAGTGTAACTGTATTGTATTTACAATTTATAACACACAAAATTATAGTCTTTAAAAAAACTCACAGCCTCGGGTTTATTCCTAAAATAGTCTTACAATTTGTAAATATCAGCCTTCATATTCTTACAAGATGTATTCTGATATACAAAAAGTGTGTAACGAGATGTAACGCTTAAAGGCGCTAAGTCAAGTTATTTTGAGTTATTTTGGCGACGTACAACTTACAACTCACGTACGACTCAAGTACAAATTACCTATAAATTGAAAGAAACCTGAAAATAAAAGATTACTAAGACAGAAAAACACCAAAGAGATAAAAAATAAAACATTAAAGGACAAGGAAGATAAAAGATGGAGAAGATTAAATCGGATTACACTCGGCGAACTTGAAAAATTTTAGGCTAAACTTTTCAAGATGAGCAAACTGTGAAGTAGTTCCTTTAAAGGAAAAAATTTTTAGTTTCATTTGTAACATCGTTTCTCCCAAGGTGAGTTTGCTTGTAATTTCAGGTGGTCCAGGCAATAGCCCTTTTTGCAGTTAGCTTTTTAAATTTATATTACAATGTAATCTAACATGGATGCGAGGACAGAGACTAGGAAATTGCCCGAAATTGCTGCATATACACGTTAGATTATACTGTAATACAATCAAGAAAAGTTAATCATCAAAAAGGGCTATTCACTGGAAGAGATCTCGCGTGCATTCTTGTCCAAGAACGTAACACAAAGACCTCAACCAACGCCTTACATAACAATGGAAGGTTTCTTTTTTGCACTTCCTGAAAATACTATAATAATTTTATGTACGATTTTAGTGACCAACCTTGTTGTTACACTCCTTACCTGTGGTGAAGAAGTTAATCGTCACGCCAAATTCTTCTGCACTAGCAAAATATTTCACTTCCTCGATGAATTCATCTGAAGCATCTTTTGGGCCTGCATCCGTGAACACATACATAGGGGACCCCCACTGTGGTTCCTGATAGAGTGCTTCTAGCATGCCTGTAAATGCTAACTCCGGACAGTCCCCTCCCCCGTGAGGTGTAAGGTCGTTTATGGCTTCCACGAACTCTCCAGCGTCTATTTCATCCTTGAAAACTACTGGCGATTCATCTGAGTGTGTTTACATTGTAAAAGAAGCTAAGTTAGGGCCGGGCCGCAGTAGAGCGAATTCAAATATTTTCTAATTTTTGACGAGTAAAAAATTGGCAAAAAGTTCCATATTTTTGCAGTGGTAGCATCAAACCATCATGTTTTAACCAAAACATTAGCTGATTGACGTACACGTTAGTCATGCGTTCTTCACAAGAGTGCACAAGGGATGTCCACAAGAGGCAACGAAATATCTAGGGCGCAAATTATGCAAGAATGGTTAATTCGCCTTCTTTTCTGTTCCATTTGAGGTGCTGCCGCTTATGGCTTCTATATTTGCGATCGAAGGAGACTTGCTTCTCTGAGGTCGTTTGTTCACTTCTCGATACTACCGCCCGTAGCCAGACCAAAAAAAACAAACAAACAAACAAACAAAATTGTTTGCTTTGGCAAAACAGTTTGGAAGCCTCCGAGGCAGCACTTCGGCTTCTTTGAAGATTGGCGAAATTTTGGCAATGCGCAAAAATTTGGCAAGCTTTTGAAAGTGGCCATGGGGGTCGTACTTATTTTTCGCTACTTGTTGACAGATTCAATGATTACTTATACAAACATAACTGGCTTTAGTGCGACACGCCCCTTATGCTGTGTTTAGACTTGAACGGTTTACCGAGGTACCAGAGTTTACTTACCAAGGTAAACATTTTCCGTGCGTAAACGCTAACTGATACTTTGGTAAATGCCGCAAAAGACAAAAGAAATTTAACCGAGGTAAAAGTTGTAATTACCCTGTGATCANGGCATGGTTACAGTTGGTAACCAAGGTCAAGATGACAGATATATCCGCTTGTGGCGGCGTAATATTTCACTTCCCGTGAGTAGATTGTGCGATTGTCGACAAAGCAAAGCATTTCTTTTCCAGTTTTGACTAGGCTATCATGGCAGATAACGTGGAAAGATTGGATCGATCTTCTTACGG